TAGGGAAATAGTAAACCAAAAGCAATACTGCATTCCTGGAAGGACTGAAGAGATTACTGCCACCATCAAGGACTTGAAAGATGCAGGGGTGGTGATCCCCAGCACAAACCATTCAACTCACCTATTTGGCCTGTGTAGGAGACAGATGGATCTTGGAGAATAACAGTGCATTGTTGTAAGGTTAACCTGGTGGTGACTCCAATAGGAGTTGCTATACCAGATGTGGTTTCATTGCTTGAGCAAATTAACACATCCCCTGGTCCCTGCTATGCAGCTGTTGATCTGGCAATGTCTTTTTCTCCATCTCTATTAGAAAGGCCACCAGAAGCAGTTTACTTTCAGCTGGCAAGGCCAGAAATACACCTTCACTGTCCTACTTCAGGAGTATCAACTCTCCATCCCTATATCATAATTCAGTTCACAGGGACCTTGATCATCTTTCCCTTCTCCCGGATGTCACACTGGTCCATTACACTGATGACACCATGCTGATTGGACCTAAGGAAAAGAAGTAGCAACTACTCTATACTTATTGGTAAGACATTTGTGTGTCGGAAGGAGGAAATAAATCTGACAAGAATTCAGAGAACTGCCTCAGAGGAATTTCTAGGGGTCCAGTGGTGTGGTATATGTCAAGATATCCCTTGTAACGTGAAATTTAAGTTGTTGCATCTGGCTCCTTTGCAACCAAAAAAGAGGTACAACACCTAGTGAGCCTCTTTGGATTTTGGAGACAACATATTCCTCATTTGGGTGTATTACTTTGGCCCATTTTCTGAGGGACCCAAAGAGCTGCTAATTTTGAGTAGGGTCCATACCAGGAGAAGGCTCTGTAGCAGGTCCAGGCTGCCATGCCAGCTGCTCTGCCACTTGGACCATATGATCCAGCAGATCCAATGGAGCTTGCAGTGGCAGTGGCAGACAGGGATAGAGTTTGTAGCGTTTGGCCGGCTCCTATAGGTGAAGCACAGGGTAGGTCCTTAGAATTTTGGAACAAAGCCCTGCCATCCTCTGTGGATAACTGCTCTCCTTTTAACAAACAGCGTTAGGCCTGCTACAGGGCCTTAGGAGAGACTGAATGCTTAACCATAGGCCACCAAAATTATCATGCAACCTGAGCTGCCCACCATGAGCTAAGTGTTACCTGACCACCGTGCCATAAAGTTGAGGATGTACCATAGCCCTCCATCATCAAATGGAAGAGGTAGATATGAGATCAGACCCAAGTAGGTCCTGAAAGTACAAATAAGTTAGATGAAGAAGTGGTCCAAATGCCCAAGTTCCCCACTCCTTCTATACCACCTTCTCTCTCCCAGCCTGCACCTATGGCCTCATGTGGAGTTCCCTACAATCAGTTGACAGAGGAAGAGAACACTTGCGCCTGGTATATAGATAGTTCTGTATGATATGCAGGCACCACCCTAAAGTGGACCGCTGCAGCACTACTGCCCCTTTCTGGGACATCCTTGAAGGGATGTGGTGAAGGAAATCCTCCCAGTGGGCAGAACTTTGAGCAGTGTACCTGGTTGTTCATTTTGCTTGGAAGGAGAAATGACCGGCTATGCAATTACATACCAATTCATGGGCTGTGGCCAATTGTTTGGCTAGATGGTCAGGGACCTGGAAGGAACATAATTTGAAAATTGGTGATGATGAAGTCTGGGAGAGGTATGTGGATAGACCTATCAGAATGGGTGAAAAATGTGAAGGTATTTGTGTCCCATATGAATGCCCACCAAAGAGTGGTCTAAGCAGAGGAGGATTTTAATAATCAAGTGGATCAGATGACCAACTTATTCTGTGGATACTAACCAGCCTCCTTCCCCAGCCACCTCTGTTATCATCCAAAGGGCTCATGAACAAAGTGGCCATGGTGGCGGATGGAGCTTATGCATGGGCTCAGCAACATGGACTTCCACTCACCAAGGCAGACCTGGCTGCAGCCAGTGCCAAGTGCCCAATCAGCCAACAGCAGAGACCAACACTGAGTCCTGGAGGTGGCACCCTTCCCCAGGGTGGCAGGTTGATTACATTGGACCTCTTCCATCATGGAAGGGGCAAGGTTTTCTTATTATTGGATTAGACATATATTTTGGGTGCAGATCTGCCTACCCTACATGCAATGCTTCTGCCAAAACTACCATCCATGGGCTTACAGAATGCCTTTTCCACCATCATGGTATTTCACACAGCATTGTTTCTAATTAAGGAACTCACTTCACAGAAAATGAAGTGTAGCAATGGGCCCGTGCTCATGGATTTCACTGGTTTTACCATTTTCCCCACCATCCTGAAGCAGCTAACTTGATAGAACGATAGCATGACCTTTCAAAGATTCAGTTACAACACAGCTGGGTGCCAATACTTTGCAGGGCTGAGGCAAGGTTCTCCAGGAGGTTGTATATACTCTGACTCAGTGTCCAATATACTGTGCTGTTTCGCCCATAGCCAATATTCATGAATTCAGGAAGAAAGGGCTGGAAATGGGAGTGGCACCACTCACTGTTACCCCTAGTAACTCTCTAGCAAAAAACTTGCTTCCTGTTCCTCATGGTCTTGAAATCTGCTGGCCTAGAGGTCTCAGTTCTAAGGGGAGAAATGCATGCTCCGGGAGACACAATGATCATTCCATTGAACTAAAAGTTTAGACTACTGCCTAGTCACTTTGGGCTCTTCATGCCTCTGAATCAAAGGCAAAGAAGGGAGTTACTACATGGGCTGCAGTGATTTGTCCTGAGTGCTAAGGAGAAATCTGATTGCTACTCCACAATGAAGGAAGGAAGAGTGAACCAAGAATATGAGATCCCTTAGGGCATCTCTTACTGCTGAACTGAGGAGTGGGGAACGGTAACAGAGAAATTGAAAATGCCACAGAGCTCTGGTACTGAAATTCTGCCAGTTTTGGTCTTCATTAAACATTTCCCTGCTTGATGTAGGTTTTTAAACCTAGATTCTAAAGTTCTTAAAAAGATGATTCTGACAGTTATTGCCAGCTTATTCATTGCTTCTGAGAGGGACAGACAGAGCCTGGGAGTTCCCTACTGCACAATATTCCAGTCTGGCAAATTTTTACAAGTTTTTTTTATTCATCCATTTATTTATTCACTAGCCATAAATTAAGCTCCTGGCATTGTTTTATATTACGTATTTTAGTCTCATAAAGTCAGCATTAGGCATCAGTGTTATTTGGCTTTCTCAATAGAAGTTTGAGATCTAGAATAAGAGATGAGTTAGTCCAGTCCTATGCTTAGATGATAAACCAGAGATAGAATATTATGCTCTGTATTGGGGATCATACTTTCCAAGAAAGATACACAAAGTGGACAAGCAGAAAGGTGAAATGAGATTGAAACCATGCAATGTAAGAATTGGTTAGGTATTGATGGGTAGAAATGTTTGATTTGTTATCTGTAATCCCTAGTGTTGTAGTTACTACTAATGAGAGAAGATTTCAGGGAAGTAAATTGTCTTAATACAATGAAGAACGTCCTAGAAGTCAACACTGTTCAAAGAAGGAATAGCTATTTAGAGATGCATACACGGGTGGTAAAACCATAAAGTATAACAAGATAATGTCACAAAGTTAGAATAGTGGTTATGTCCAAGAGGGAAGGGTATTTGGGTATGGGCTTCTAGGATGCTAGCAAGTTCTATTTCTGAATACCAGTTATATAGTTGGTCACTTTATAAACACTTTAAACTTTACATTACATTTGTGTCTTTATGTATGACATATCTCACAAAAGTTAAGAAAAAATAAAAGGTAATGGATACATGTGATGGGGTTTTAAAATGGTCACAAATCCTTTTTTTTCTTCGGTCACGCAGCACTGTATCTTAGTTCCCCAACCAGGGGTTGAACCTGTGCCCCCTGCAATGGAAGCACAGAGTCTTAACCACTGGACCACCAGGGAAGTCCTGGCCACAAATTCTTTCACACCCATAGAATAGGTTCTGTTTTCTCCACACCTTTGAATCTAGGCTGGCCTGTGACTGCTTTAACTAATAAAGCACAGCAGACAGAAGTGATACTATGCTATTTCTGTCTCTAGCCTTTAAGAGGACTGGTAGCTTCCAACCTGGTCTCTTGAAGCCCGAGTCGCTATGTAAGAAATCTCACAACCTGCCACAGAGAGGCCTTCAGACTACTTGGAGAGGCAGATGGGCCTGACTGAATGCAGTTTTACAGCCAAGTCTGCCAAGGTACCAGGCATGTGAATTAAGGCATCTTGGACCCTCCAGATTAGATCAGCCATCAGCTGAATACCACCAAGTGACCACAATCAATATCACCTGGAGCAGAAGACTAGTCCAGCAGAGCTTTGCCCAAATTCCTGACACTCAAAATAATGAGATATAAAATAGTTGTTATTTCAAGCAAGTAAGCTTTGGAGTAGTTTGTTGTTCACTGTCTTAGTTCCTTCAGCCTGCTATAACAAAAATACCATAGTCTGGGTGGCTTAAACGAGGAACACTTTATTCTCACAGTTCTGGAGACTCGGAAGTCCATATCAGGATGCCCACAGATGTGATATCTGGTGAAGACCTGCTTCCTGGTTCATAGACAGCTGTCTTCTTGCTGTGACCTCACGTGGTGGAAGGGGCAAAGGTGCTCTCTAGGGTTTCTTTTATAAGGGCACTTAATCCCACTCGTGAGGACTCCACCTTCATGTCCTAATCACCTCCCAAAGATACCACATCCAAATACTATCACATTGGGGATTGGTTTCAACATATGGAATTTTGAGGGGGCACAAATATTTGATCTATAGTATACCCTATAGATAACACAAACAATAGGCAAATTTAAGCAAAAAAAATGTTTTGAAAAGAAAGTGTTCTAATATTAATAGTAAAGCAAAGTAGAGTTAAGAACAAAAATGCATTGTTTTGGAGAAACCAAGCATTATTTTTTAATCAGGGATGTGTGTATGCCAAAGATAAAAGAGTCCTAAACAGTAATGTCATTATTTATATGTCTTTGGAATGGGTGAGACCCTTCAAAGCAAAACACCAAAAGCAGAAACCATAAAGGATAAGGTTTAGTAAGTTTGAAAACATAAAACTTTAAAGTTGCTGTATGTCTAAAATATTCCACCATTAACAAAATTAAAGGCTTAAAAAAAAAGTATGGTCAACTGCATGATATATTGAACTTCTTTCATGGATGTTGTAGGAAATTGTAAAGTATAACCAAGTATTGGGTGGATGTTTAAATTATGTATTCAGTAATGGTGTCGAGTAAATGCCAAACAAAGTTCATTTGTAACAGTGGCCTTCTGAAAACCACGCTTTAACCCAGGAGAGAGTTTTTGGTGTTGGATATTTCAGGCATTCAGGCAGGCTAATGAATTAGATATACTCTGCAGGGATCATGAGAACTTAAGTCACCTTTGGTGGCCCATTTTTAAATGACGGTTACCCCTCCCTCCCACTAGACCTGAAGCTCTACAAAGGCAATGGCTTGGACTATATTATTTCTGATTATCTAGTATCAACATAGGATCTCGTAAATATTTGGCACATAACTTTTTAAAAATGGATAGATGAATAAATGAATGGATGGATGGATAGATGAATAGATGGTGAATTGCTAAAATATTATGCTTTTTTTTCGGTACGCGGGCCTCTCACTGTTTGTGGCCTCTCCCGTTGCGGAGCACAGGCTCCGGACGCGCAGGCCCAGCGGCCATGGCTCACGGGCCCAGCCGCTCCGCGGCACGTGGGATCCTCCCGGACCGGGACACGAACCCGTGTCCCCTGCGTCGGCAGGCGGACGCTCAACCACTGCGCCACCAGGGAAGCCCAAAATATTATGCTTTAAAGAAAGACACACACACATGAAAAAGGTTGAGCCTGAAAACTTGTGAACATGAAAAGTTCAAAAAAAAAAAAGTACAAGCATTTTAAAGAAGACAGTTACTGGAATGATTCCTTTCTGATCTCACAAGTTTTTTCAGGTACAGACTAACCTTGTATCTGTTTTCTATTGCTGCTGTAACAAATTACCACAAATTGAATGGCTTAAGCGACACAAATGTATTATCTTACAACTCTGAAGGTCAGAAGTCCCAAATAGGTCAGCGTGGATGCAGTTGTTCTGGAAGCTCTAGGGGAGAATCTGTTTCCTTGCCTTTTCCAGCTTCCAGAGGCTGTTCACATTCCTTGATTGGCAACCCTGCATGGCTCCAATCTCTGCTTCCAGGCCACATCTCCTTCTCTGACCCTCTTGCCTCCCTCCTATAAGGATCCTTGTAATTACATTGGGCCCAATGGGATAATCCAGGATAATCTCCCCATCTCAAGATTCTTAATTTACTCACATTTGTAAAATCCCTCTCACCTCCTAAGGTAACCTATCAACAGGTTCTAGGTATTAGGAAGTTCACTTCTTTGTAGGGGAGGGGCATTATCCTGCCTACCACACCTCAGTTCCACAAAGCTAAGAAGTTCTCCCAGAGGGTGGAAAACACCAAAGGTGGGTAGGAACCCCAGGGCTAACAAAGGTGGCTACTCAAATGCAGTCCTTACATCCACAGCTACGTCATTCTGGGTCAAATTCAGGGATCTATTTAGTGAAAAACAAATGAGACATGTCAGAAGTATTTTGCTTCCCATTTTTTGGGTGAAGTGGGGTAAAGATTAAAAAAGTTAAAAAGCATCTCTATATATTAATATTTGGTGAAAATGCACTCATTTGGAGGGGACTTTTACATTCTTGAAAATTTTTCCTGAATAATTGGAAAAAGACTTACTCCACATAGTTGTAGAGGGCAGACCCGGAAGCAACCGGGGGGAAGAAGTCTGTGCAACTCAAGAAGGGCCTTTTCTAACAGTTATGTTTGTCCAAATGGAATGAGTCACCTAAAAAAAAAATTGAATACAATTAGTTTTATGAAAAGCTTACTACATTGTCCCCTTTCCTCTTCATTTTAGAAGTTGTGAAAGTCTGTGTTCAGAGCCTTTAAATGCCCAATAGATTATCAGATTAATTTTAAGACTGATGTGAATGCTTGATCAATTTCCACTGCCCCTAAAATACCTAAATTTAACAAGGAATCCTCTAAGACAGCGGTCCCCAGCCTTTTTGGCACCAGGGACCGGTTTCGAGGAAGATCATTTTTCCACGGACCGGGGTGGGGGGCGAGTGTGTGGCGGGATGGCTCAGGCGGTAATGCGAGTGATGGGGGGCGATGGGGGGCGGCAGATGAAGCTTCGCTCGCTCACCCGCCGCTCACCTCCTGCTGTGCGGCCGGGTTCCTAACAGGCTGCGGACCGCGGTCCGGGGGTTGGGGACCCCTGCTCTAAGACAGTTCTTTCATAAAGATGAAATTACTACCGCAGACCACCAAAAACTTCTGGCAATTTTAAAGATTCTCTTCGTTCATACCTTATTTACTTATTTCTTTTAAAAGCGAGATAAAGATAACACTTGCTTTACATAGCTCAGTGGAGGGCTCTCAGGCGTTGCTCTCATCAACTGAGTTCCAGACCCAAGCCCACCCAATGCTCGAACTGACTGCACTTCAATTCCACCTCTAACGTTAGCTGTTGGCAATCCGAGAACCAAGGGGAGCGACAGGCTGACGGCATTCTGCCACGCTGCCCCGTCACCTCGGCTTTCACAGGGATGCCTGGGCTCCTCTTGGGTTGCTTTTTCCCCTACAAGGAGGGAGTATCCGGGTTCCCCGTCGGAAGGTCAGCCCTATCTGTAAATGGGCAGAATGTAAGGATTCGGATAAAAGCCAGATCTTCCGCCAGCAACAGTTAAAAGCAAAAACCTTGACAGGAGAGTGGTGAATGAAGGTGACCCTGTCAGGGAAGGTCCGGGTTAGGTAAGGGAAATGGCGATAACAAAGTAGCAAATTGGACCGCCGTGGGAAGAACTTAGGAAATCTGGCCTCGGAGGTGAACTTTTTGCACTGATGCCGGGCAGCCATTTTCTCCAACAGGTTGTGAGAAAACGAGCATCCCCTGCTGGCTTCGAGGGTGATAACAGCTTTTCGCAAAGACGTTTTGACGATTCTCCAGTAGGGGTCAGCGATGAGGTGGCTAGAACTACCCGAGCATCCAACTTACCCGGTGAGCCTTAACTGTAAAGGAACGTAAAATAGGAGACAAGCGTAAAACAGTGGGAAGAGAGAGCCAGTAATAAAGACCAATTATATCTCGTCAACTTTTAATGCACACATTAGTGAACTACTGAACTCGTAAAAAGTAAGAATCTGGAAAAAGGCAAACATTTGTTATTTGTTTAGGGGAAATACACGGATTTAAATGACGGAGGGGCAAATCAAAAGAGACGGGGTCTCGCTATGTTGCCCAGGCTGGAGTGCAGTGGCTATTCACAGGCGCGATCCCACTACTGATCAGCACGGGAGTTTTGACCTGCTCCGTTTCCGACCTGGGCCGGTTCACCCCTCCTTAGGCAACCTGGTGGTCCCCCGCTCCCGGGAGGTCACCATATTGATGCCGAACTTAGTGCGGACACCCGATCGGCATAGCGCACTACAGCCCAGAACTCCTGGGCTCAAGCGATCCTCCTGCCTCAGCCTCCCGAGTAGCTGGGATTACAGGCGCGCGCCACCGCGCCCGGCGATAGAAGATACTGCAACGAGTTACTAGAGGTTGTGGCGCGGTGACGTCACCTGGGGCGGGGCGGGGCGAGGCTGAGGCCGTAGCGGGATAAGACACGCCCAACGCAAGGTGGCCTCGAGGCTGATGAACGTGTGATGTCATCGGGGCGGGGTTGTCGTCCTGCCTTGGTGGTTTGCGAGCAAGGAGCAAGCCACTTTCCCTGTTCCGGCCTCGGCTCCTGGTGTTTTGCTTGGAACCTTGGTCGGTTTGCGCTTAATGCTCGTAGGCGTTGCGTCCGGACACGCAGCGAGCACAAAAGGAAAGGCAATACCTTGGTCCCTCAGCATTGCCTTTCTTCAGGAGACCTTAAAGACGTGCTGCATGCTGGGGGGACGTTATTCACGAGGGAACCGAACCATCTGTCCCTAAATCTCCCATTGTCCACAGCAAGCATTTAGGAGGTGCCTTCGCTGTACGAAGGAGTGTAACCCACAGTAGCGGAGGTTGGGGTCCGCAAAAGTGCTGGAGGCCAGCTCAGTTTTCACTGTTGGAACGAAAGGAACGTGCGGGAGCCGTCTGTTTTCGCTGTCCCCACGTGTTCGTTGCCCATGACTGTTGGGGGGAAAAAAATCTAATATCTGAGTAGACTGTGCAAAAATTACAATTTGGCAGCCTGAAGTCTTTTTGAAACAAGACTAGGTTAGTAAGGCATAAAGGGGAAGAAGGAAAAAGAATTTCCAGCCATGGTAGATCTGCAATCAGCTGACCTTTTCTGTCTCCTACCGGCAATGTTTTCCATCCCCCTTCTCTCTTAGAAACCGGTCCAAACTTCCCCCTCAACCTCCTCTCTTGCAGCAGGTAACTGCTCCCTCCTTTATGTTGATAAATAAATTAAAGGCCATCAGAAAAAACTCAACTCCTTGTTACTCTGCCTTCTCTAAAATTCATCTTTACATCTTCAAGGGAGGGCAACTCTGTTGTCTCTTCCTATCTTAGACCCAGTAGGTCGAAATTGCTCCATCAGTCATTTCCACACTCATCTTCTCTTTCTCTCCCTCTCTCTCTCTCTCTTATATAAAGAGATTCTGAGCTTTCTTTCAACTCTTCTTTGACCTTGTCTCTCTTTCCAAATAAAATCTCTTGTTTTCATAGCGGCACTTCCTGAAAGCATGTTCTACAATTACTACATTCACTTCCTAACATTCTATCTTCAGACCACAGCCCACCAACCCACTGAAATTATTCTAAAGCTATCATATCTAAGCCTCCTAACTGGCAGTTCTAAGGCACTCTTTCAGACTTATGTGAATAATTTAGG